TTGCTTGTCTTTTTGTTTGTGTGGATTAGGGTGGGGACGATTTGGGTAAAGTTTGATCAACTTCTGCAGTATCTAAGTTGATGAGTAGTAGAATTGTTAGTTCACCTTTATCCCAGGATTTCTGTTGAGATCCATGTGGATTGACCAAAATGCAAAAGTGCTTGTCAGTGAAGCCCTGCTGCACAAATAAGGAGGGTGGTTGACTCTTTTATTAGGGTAGGGTAGCAGGGGCCAAACCATGGGGATTGCCAAGGGCACAATATCATTGGAATTGTTTTGGTAGGGAACCAGCTGTCTTGTGATAGAATACTTCTGTCAAGAGTTCTAAAAATAAAGAATGCTCTCTTCTATATTTATGGAATCTTTCCTGGTTAGGACAGTGAAAGAAGAGGCTTATTTTTCTTTAATTTATAAAATATATAAAGTAATTGAGAATGTTTTGATGCTTGGAATTTTATGAGCTGGATGATATATTGATCTCTGAAATTAATGCATTGATGGTCATTGCCACTATGAAATTAAATTGAGAACATTGATGTGAGTTATCTACTGTGACCTATAATCTAATTTATAATTAGTAAGGGGAATTTCTTAATTAGTATGACTGAAAGAAAAATGCTGGAGATGAAGTCTCACATCTGTTAAGAATTTTATCAGGAGTTACTTCTTTTCCTTGTCCCTCTTTTGGGGATAAATGTTAATGAGTAATGTTACACTTACATCATTTTTTTACACCATTTTGTAAACATCATGATGTGGCATATGCTACAACTATATAAATTCTATTATAATATTAAAAATTTAAAATAATTAAAAATTTGTGTGGTTGTGACATATGTCACATCATGATGTAATGAAAATTGTGTAAAAGAGTGATGTAAGTGTAGCATTACTCAATGTCAATACTTTATTTTATAGATTGTAATAAATATCTAGTGCTGGATAGCTGGACCAATGTATTCAAAGGTAACGGGCAACAAAATCTTTGTGGATGAATTTAACCATCTATAGGATTTAATTTATGTAGGTCTGGCAAGAGTTTTGGATTACCGGAGATGTGGATGGAAGAGGTATCCCAGTATCAAACCCAAATGGTCCCCTTGATCATGACCTATTTATGCTATGTGCAAGAGATACTGTCAAGCTTCTCAGGAACCATGCCAGTCTTGCACTCTGGGTGGGTGGAAATGAACAGGTTCCACCAAAAGACCTCAATGATGCTTTAAAGAATGACCTGAAACTCCATCCTTATTTTGAGAGTTCCGGTGAAACTGAGAATTCTATGCCAGATTTGCCCCTGGCAGCCAGTGATCCTAGCCAATATCTTGATGGTACCCGCATTTATGTCCGGGGATCTATGTGGGATGGCTTTGCAGATGGAAAGGGGAACTGGACTGATGGTCCTTATGAAATCCAATATCCTGAAGACTTTTTTAAGGATAGTTTTTACCAGTATGGATTCAATCCTGAGGTTGGTAGTGTGGGAATCCCAGTTGCAGCCACCATCAGAGCAACCATGCCTCCAGAAGGATGGCAAATTCCAGTGTTTAAAAAGAATTCTGATGGTTACATAGAAGAAGTTCCAAACCCTACTTGGACATACCATAAATACATTCCTTATTCAAAACCAGGCAAGGTTCATGATCAGATTGAACTGTATGGATTGCCAAAGGACCTCGATGATTTTTGTTTGAAGGTATTATAGAAATCTTCATTTATTCAAGTTACTTTTACCTTATGGTTATGCCACTTACTTGTCTGGAACGACCTTCACAGGCTCAACTTGTCAACTACATTCAATATAGAGCTCTACTGGAGGGCTGGACTTCTCGCATGTGGAGCAAATACACTGGTTTCTTGATTTGGAAGACTCAGAATCCATGGACAGGTCTTAGAGGTCAGTTTTATGATCATCTCCATGACCAAAATGCTGGATTCTATGGCGTTCGATGTGCTGCAGAGCCAATTCATGTCCAGCTGAACCTCTCTTCATATTATATTGAGGTAACTAGACTCTACAGAACTTACAGTTAAAGTTGATTATTCTAAATTGAATTTTTAGAATAATCAATTTTTTTATTATTCATATCCATAATACACCAAGGGTCAGCTACATTGTCGATTTAAGATGGGTTGGAAATGCATACTGATTTATTATTTTGACAGGTTGTTAACACTACATCACAAGAACTCTCTGACGTGGCTATTGAAGCATCAGTGTGGGATCTAGAAGGAGCATGCCCATATTACAAAGTTAATGATAAGCTTTCTGTGCAACAGAAGAAAACAGTACCCATTTGCGAGATGAAGTATCCCAAGTCTAAAAACCCAAAGCCAGTCTACTTTCTTCTTCTCAAACTCTACAAAATGTCCGATTACAGCATTATATCTCGGAACTTCTACTGGTTGCATCTACCTGGTGGAGATTACAAGCTGTTGGAGCCATACAGGAAGAGAAAGATACCCCTCAAGATAACATCAAAGGTTTTTATGAAAGGGTCCACTTATGAAATTGAAATGCACGTGCAGAACAAATCGAAGAAAACGGAATCTGAAAGTTTGACATATAAAAATAATTTCGCTCCTATAATTGCTGATGGTGATTTTGATATGGCTTCGACAGAAGCTGCTGCACGTAAAGTTGAGGAAAAGCAAGAAGCTGGTTTCTTCAGGAGAATATGCAGCCGTTTTACAAAGGACACTGACAACTTAAAGGTTGCTGAACTGAATGGAACTGACGAAGGAGTTGCTTTCTTCCTTCATTTTTCCATTCATGCCTCAAGTAGAGAACACAAGGAAGGCGAAGACACAAGAATTCTTCCAGTTCATTACTCAGACAACTATTTTTCACTTGTGCCCGGTGAACAGATACCCATCAAGATCACTTTTGAGGTTCCTCACGGTGTCACCCCTCGAGTAACGCTCCAAGGCTGGAACTACCATGTTGGACATACTATATTCTAAGCTGGTAAGAATTCTTCTCTGCTTTTGTAGCTTGCAAAATCTGATCTCTCCGTGGTTTCAGAATTGAGGCTCAACTTTTATACAAATAAATAAATGAATAATTGCCCTTTCTTGCTCCTGGTGAAATATTTATTACTGAAAATTCTCTGGTATAAGGGAAAATAACGTCGGCAATTGGAGGAAAATTTGAGTTTGTTATTTATTTGTTTCACTGTGTTCAAGAAAATGTCCTCATATCTAGAACGGTTGTTTTTCATTTTATCTTGGTTTCAATTGTAAGTAAAGTTTACAGATGGACAGCGTTTAACATTGAAAGATCAAAGTGATCGATCTTTTGTTTGCTTTTACTCTATTTATTCATCCATATTATATTTATTGAATGGTTATTTGATTAAAGAAATGGAATGAAAAGATATGATTATTGTGATGCGTAGTCTTAGGTTCGATTTTTCGATTTTTTATCTGAGCATTTACAATTTAAGTGTGGGCACGTGGGGTTGTGACGGTGAGTTATTGCGCTAGTCTCTCTTGAGGATTGTTGAGGTGTGTATAAGTTGGCTTGGACAAATGCGATGATTTTTTTGTTTTCTACATAAATACAATTGGTTATATCTTGTAGGCGATACAGGAAGAGTAGAGAAGCTAGTTAATGTTGAATTTACTTATACAGCAACTAGTTTTGAATCTCTCAGAATTTGTCAAAAATCTATTTCTTTTTATTATGGAAGAGACAAGATTTCTGACAAATTTTAGAATAATAATGGCTTCCTTTGTTTCATTTTTGGGAAACTATTGTCAGTGTTCCCGAAAAAGTTAAACAGTAAAATGTTAATATTTTCAAAATATTATTTTATATTTTTCAATTTCTTTTAAACTTCTTAAATTTGTTAATTTAACTAAGCATCCCCAAATATTTTTTTAAAAAATTACAAAAACACTCTGACCACTCTCCGGCGGTGGTGGCTGGCTGTCCATATTCAATGGGTGGGTTAGGAGTGTTTTTGTTAACTTTTAATGTTTTATTATAGGGGTGTTTAGTAAATAAACAAACATAGAGGGTATTTTATTAATTTTTAAATCTTACATCATAATACCTGTCCAATTCAACTTGTTTTTAACTTTTTAAAAAAAAAATTTCTCAAAAGTGTAAAAAAATGAATCAAACGGAGCCAATATTTTCCCATTTATGAAAATTTCATGAATCTCTTTCATCGAAAGTACGGTAATGCAAAAATTTAATAATTAGTTCGTAGGTAAAAAAAAATATATTGAAACAATAGTAAAAGTTTTGGTGCGTTTGGTTCCATATTTTTACTCATATTTTGAATCATATTCCTCAAATATTGTTTGGTACACTATTTGAAAAATATTATTATATTTTTTTAATTATTTTTAGACCTCTTAAATTTATTAATTTCATTAAATATCTTCAGAAAAAAAAGTTTAAAAATTAACAAAAACACTTTCACCAACCCATATTTGTCAGATTCCGGCAATCAACGTTGGTGGTAGTCGGAATCTATCACAACGGTCTACACCACGATTGGAACTGGTCGGTAATTTAGCGATCTGGCCTTCAGCTACGGTCAAAGAAATGACCATTATTGATCGACAACGGCTTTGGCTGTTAGCCAAAGATGGACTTTTGCGGCTGTCGACAGCCACATTTGGCTGTAGATCTGGTCGAAAAAGGTCATATCGATGTCATATCCTTTAGATCTGACTGGTATGTATCATTACGTAATTTTTCGGTCAGATTCCGATGGTGGTGGTCGAAATTTGGCACTGCAAGTAGTGGGGGTGTTTTTGTTATTTTACAAATTTTTTATATATTAGAATGTTTAGTTAAATTAGCAAACCTATGAGGTTTTTTAAAATTTTTAAATTTTACCTCATAATATTCTCCTATTTAATTACCTAATATTATTCTTAAAATTCTATCCAAGATAATAAAAGAAATGAAAACTTCAATTCTGCTTTTTGTGTACTTTTTTAGTTATTAGTTATTATCCGTTACTTTCTCAAAACAGCTTTTGCATCTCTGGTTCATTTTCATGGATGAAATCCAAATGGGTCTTTCACCAACTAAACTCCCGCCACCCTTCTTTGTCTTCTCTCTTTTCTCCACTCAAAACCAAAACAACCTCTCAACACCCATATTCAAGCTCTGCAAAACACGTCCTCAACCATGTACAAATCAGCCACCTCTTATCTGTTTCTGCAAAAGACGGCCAGTTTTATATGGGTCCTTCTCTTCACGCCTTCTTCGTCAAAGGCCCCCAGTATTTTGACGTCCAGAACCAATGTAACATTCATAATGTTGCCGTTATTTGGAACTCTCTTTTGTCTTTGTATACAAAATGTGGTCCCATAAATGATGCCGTTAAATTGTTCGACGAAATGCCGATTAGAGATACAGTGTCGTGGAATATAATGATATCTGGGTTTTTGAGAGATGGGGACTTTGATACTGGTTTTGGGTACTTTAAGAGATTGCTTGAATTAGGTTTTGATTGGTTAGATCAAGCTAGTTTTACTACAATGTTATCGGCTTGTGATATACAGGAGTATAGTTTTGTCACTAAAATTATACATTGTTTAGTTGTTTTAAGTGGGTATGAGCAAGAGGTAACAGTTGGTAATGCGTTGATTACTTCATATTTTAAATGTGGGAGTTGTGGTTTAGGGAGGCAGGTTTTTGGTGAGATGAGAGAAAGGAATGTAATTACTTGGACAGCTGTTATTTCTGGGCTAGTGCAAAATCAGTTGTATGATGATAGTTTGAAGTTGTTTGCAGAAATGCGTTGTGGATCGGTTAATCCAAATTTCCTAACGTACTTGAGCTCACTGATGGCATGTTCGGGTTTACAGGCATTAAGGGAAGGGCGTCAAATCCATGGAATTCTGTGGAAGTTGGGGAGTCAGTCGGATGTGCGCATCGAGAGTGCACTGATGGACATGTACTCGAAATGTGGAAGTGTGGAAGATGCTTGGCGGGTTTTTGAGTCAGCTGAGGAACTTGATGAGGTTTCGATGACTGTAATTCTTGTGGGGTTTGCACAAAATAAGTTTGAGGATGAAGCGATACAATTTTTCGTGAAAATGGTTAAGGCAGGAATTGAGATTGATCCAAATATGGTTTCAGCTGTTCTTGGGGTATTTGGTGTTGATACTTCTTTGGGTCTCGGTAAGCAAATTCACTCCGTGATTGTTAAAAGAGGCTTCACCTCTAATCCCTTCGTAAGCAATGGGCTGATCAACATGTACTCCAAGTGTGGAGATTTGAAGGAGTCAATCAAAGTTTTCAGTCGAATGTCTGATAAGAACTCAATCTCATGGAATACCATGATTGCAGCTTTTGCTCGTCATGGAAATGGTTCTAGAGCACTAGAGTTGTACGAAGAGATGAGATTGGAAGGTATCAAGCCAACGGATGTCACATTTCTCTCTTTGCTTCATGCTTGTAGCCATGTTGGCCTAGTTGAAAAGGGCATGGAATTCTTTAAATCAATGACTGAAGTTCACAAAATCAGTCCCAGGACAGAGCATTACGCATGTGTAGTCGACATGTTGGGTCGGGCAGGACTTCTCAACGAAGCTAAAAGCTTCATTGAAGGATTGCCCGTGAAGCCTGATTTACTGGTTTGGCAAGCCTTACTTGGTGCTTGCAGCATTCACGGCGATTCTGAAATGGGAAAATATGCTGCTGATCAGTTAATTCTGGCTGCACCCAACAGCCCAGCACCGTACATTTTACTGGCGAATATATATTCATCCAAAGGTAGATGGAGAGAAAGAGCAAGAACTATTAGAAGAATGAAGGAAATGGGGGTGGATAAAGAGACTGGTATTAGTTGGATTGAGATAGAAAATGCAGTCCATAGCTTTGTTGTTGATGATAGAAGTCATCCAAATGCTGAGATCATTTATGAAGTTCTAGCAGAGTTGTTTAGACACATGATTGATGAGGGATATCAACCAGATAAGAGGTTTATACTTCATTATTTGGATCAAAATTAAAAGGAGTAGCCAATTGTTGGATTCACTAACTGCTAATTGAATTACAGTTGGATAGAGATTTTTGAGAGAATTACAGTTGTTCCTTACCATTTTGGTTGCTTCCTATTTTCTCGAAAGAGTTTAAGGTACAACAAACATATCACGATATTTTTTATTTGTTTCTTAGAATAAATATATCATCGATCGTGATGATAATTAATTTTAAAAAGAGAAAATAAATATATATATAATATATTTCTTTTATACGAATGCAGGGTTTTAAAAACCATGACCAGACCGACTGGGAACCGGTCCCTATTCTGGTCTACTGAGTCAGTAGACCGAATTGACCTAGGGTTGAATCGGCGGAATAGTATTGAATCGTTGGTTCAACCACCAGGTCAGAGAACTAGTGATTAGAGTTTTAAAATTTTATTATGTCATATTGACATCACCAATCAAACTTACTGATTGGATCACCCGATCTAGGGGTCGGTCCTTTGATCGGGTTAAGGTCTGGTTCGGGAATAAAAACATTTTACAAATGTAGAGATAATATAATATGTTAGCCCATTAAAGAATGTGTTAATGGCAATTAATATGAAAAAATGGATAATTATTTAATTAAATTTGATAATATTCACATAGGAAAAGTTAGTGCTTTAATTTTTTTTTAATTATCATGAAAATTTTATTAAATTAAGCTATATTATTCACCAAAACGGTACTGTTTTATTCAGTTTAGTCTTCGTGAACCAGTGGCAGTTATGTAGTTAAACGGAGCAACTCCCTCCACGGCTCCACCACCAGAACCTGAGAAAAAAAATGGAACATTTGTGTCTCAACAGTTCGCTTCCTCTAATTCTTTCGATTCAAAAAGCAGTTGCAAAACCCAACCGTCACAACTTTCCCTCCCACTCAAGGACTCCACTTCGTTGCCCTTCTAAAACCTTCACCGTAAGAAACAGCAAAGAGACAACCGGAGACAGCGCTCCTCCTTCTCCTCTCTCCAGTTCTTCGGCTTACGCCATTCTCGGCGTCGAGCCAAGCTGCTCAGCCGCGGAGCTTAAAGCTGCTTTTCGTTCCAAAGTACAATCATCTTCCCTCAACTTCAATTGATTAAATTTAATATTTTCAAAATTTTGAATTGACAATTAGTTTTTTATTTTATTTTTTTATGAAGGTTAAACAATACCATCCAGATTTGAATAGAGATGGGAAAGATTCTGATTCAATGATTAGACTTGTAATTCAAGCTTATGAGGTACCAATATTTACCTGAATATTAAAAAATATTTTTTTTTTCCATTGGTGGTTGTGGGTAAATAATATATATGTGCAGATGTTATCGGAATACAGCCGATCGGAAATCATTGAAAGGTGAAATTGCTGTTCAATTTGTTTTTTAGAGAATGTTGTGTGCATTGCTTATTGTTGGAGATTCATTTGTAGGGAATGTTTAGATCCTTTTGATGATCCAGAATGTGAAGCATTTGATATATTCGTCAATGAGGTTCTCTGTGTTGGCAGAGGTACAAAAGATTTTTCTTCATTTGTTATGTTCAACCTAACCCTGAAGTTTAGCAGAAGATTGTTTAACTTGATACTCTAACCGGTTGATTTCATTATATGTTTTTCTGGTCTATTCTTTCGCATCTTGAGCATTAGAAGAGAAATTTGTTGAGTATATAATTTGTGAAATATTTTGTTTATGTATACCTGGATGTGAAGGGGCTAATTCGTGAGCATCAATTAGACAATTCTCAATGACATATTCGAGCTAGCAATTTTTACTCTGTCATGGATTGTGATTTTGTGGATCCTTTTAAGTTTAATCTACTTGAATGAGCATGTCTACACAGTTTTAACTTCTCTATGATTCTATTTTATTGTTACTGATCGCTCAACCATGCCAATATATGTGCAGGATGCCCATATTCATGTGTCAAAACAGCTCCTCATGCTTTCACATATGTTTCCTCAACTGGAACTGCAAGGGCAACTTCTCAAGGTTTGTTCAGTTCCTAGTGCATAAGCTTGTACTGTTTTATAGTCTTAGTGAATTAGTTCATAAAAGTGATCATCATGTAATGTAAGTTAAGTTTTTGTAATTGTTATGAAGAGTATATTATTCTATGATATTTTCAACTGAAACTGCCCTTGTGCGATTTTGATCAGGACATGGTGAAGATTACCAAGTCCAGCTTGCAGTTGGCCAGTGCCCAAGAAGTTGCATTCATTATGTCACGCCTTCCCAGAGAATTATTCTCGAGGAGTTACTTGAGAGGTAGTCATCTCTTGAACCTCCTTCAAGTCTTGTTTTATACGTGCAGTGTTATGGACTTGATTGAAATAACCATATAGTACAACTTAACGTTTAGCTGCTAATAAAGCAAACAAACAATTAATTGTGATTATGAACAACATTATAGCTGGTTATTTACTTCTGTTAACAAGCTTATTCTTACTTTGTATTAACATGCTTTATCTTGATTTTGTAGTATCTTGAATGTGCCTTATGATATATCAGCTGAGGCAGACTTGCTTTATTCTCTAATCACTAAAGCTAAGTTCGAGAACAATCGGTATCAAAAGCCAAAAAAGCAACCCAAAACTTCCTCCAAACATGTTGATTGGTTCTGACTTCTGGATACCATCTAGTTATGTGCTGTTAAAACTTATCTTCAGAAACTTGACATGTACTCAACATCACGGTCAAATACTTGAAGATGGAAGCAAATTCAATGAGATGTTGATGTCCATTTTCTGTATTTCAGTGCCGATGCTTCTTTGATGTTAGGTAGAAGTAAGCAATACCAGAATTGAGCCAAAGATCAAAATGCATCAGTGTGATGCTTGGACTATATGATCCCATATCTGGTTGCCGGAAGTTAGCTTTGTTCTCAAATAAAAAGGTCATAAGATGAGGGGAGAAATTATTCTTGTAAGAGGTTCTATATTAGTACAGTTTTTATAATGAAATGTACGTAGTGATGAAGATTATGTGTAATTAGAGACAGGAAATGTAAAAAAATTTCCCACATCATGCATTATCTGGGGAAATTTTTGGCAACAGCACAAAAGAGCCCAGAGAAAGGAAGGCATATCTCAAGATTCTATTGTGAAAATCTTGTATTATACATCATAATGTAGTTTAGTGCTAATAAACAATGACTGGAACAAAGCATAAAATTGCAAAACATTAACCCCAAATCCAATGGAGGAGGGTGGTAAAGAACAAAACTATTTTGAGATGGCTTTCATGAATCGGTTTAGTGAGGAGAAAATGCTTGCTGCTTGACTAAACAAAGAAGGGCCGTCCTCTGAGTTTGCTTCTACATCTCCAAATAGTATCTGCAAGGATCAAACAGAGTTGATGGAACTTTAATATGATCTCGAAGGCTTCAACAAGAATCTTTAACTGTACCAATGTAAATTAGTTTGAACATAAATTTTTGGTGGTGACTAACCTCAAGGTCTTCAGCATTCGGACGGCTTATAAATTCTTTAGCTAGGAGATACCTATTTGGCCTATCTTTATCATCATAAAACACCTTCCATAATCTGGTTCATTATCAGAAAAGAGGGAATTGGTAATAGAGTCTTATCAGATAGAGTCAATGGTGTGCACCATGAAACTGAAATGTCGCAAACTCAAAACTTAAAATGAGATCAAGTCTTTGCAGCACGCATTGGATGTATTAAGTGCTGGTGTCGAGTTTTTAGAGTTTTGCACAAACAGAATTCGCCTGGTTCACTTTGCAGAAGCTAAACCAGACGAGGTCGAGGAGATGTAAGGAATTAATCAGAATGTAAAATGAACATTACCCTGGATAACATCTGAACACAGCACCAGTTGGCAGAGGTCTCATCGAGTAAACTGTAGTGAAAGTGCTGCACATAAACCATGATAAAGTTAATTAAATTTACAATTTGCAAACTAATGAAATTATTATTAGAAAATGTATGAATTGGCCACTGTAAATTTAAAGCTAAATAGTTTAAGAAATCTATTCAAACAACAGCCTTTGCAAAAGATGAAGTTTGTAAGCAATTAGAATGCGAAAACATATAATTCTAATCTTACCTCAGAAAGTACCGCCTTAAGTTGCGAACATTAATCCCAACTCCAACATCCTCACTGATGAGACGCGGATTCCACATGATCAGAGGCTTTGGCTAGCAATATATGAAGAAATACTGTAAGGAGGATTGTCCCTCTAGCTTAAGTTGGACAATAGAGGAAAAGAAATAATTAAATGGAAATACGGCCAGCTGAAGGTGCTGAGCTGACATGATACTATCTGAATGATGTAAACCTTGCTGGTATAAAGATACAAATGAGCACCTTTCATCGAGTAGGATGAGAGTTTGTTAAAATAAAGATGGCAGATAATTGTTTTCCTTTAATATCCAAAATCAGTGTCTTTCATCATGGAGAAATGACTGAAAAGGGTTGTTTCTAATGCGGAAAGGGGTAGTAGGATTCATACTGGATCATCGGAGAGATTTGATGCAATTTTCTCTACATATTGCAACATCTGATAGTCAGGAACAACCATAACAACAATCTCATCTTCATTCTCCACAGGTTTTCGGTCACTTAAACTGGATAATGAGACAAAAGAATTGCATATTAGTGAGTTATTAGATACATTAGTATGAACTAAAACATAAACATAATATATTTACATCTCATCAATATGTAGAAAGTTACCTGGAAAATCCAAAAGCAGCATCTTTCCACCGATATTTTAGCAGTGCAGCAGCACCGGCATCTGGAAATATGGCTTTTACTTTCTAACATGCAATATTTAACATTTTAGCAACTGAGCTTACATTTTGAATAAGTAAAAGCTAAAAAACAATATAAAGAAAGCAAGAGCACCTTCAGCTGTTCATATAATACTATCTTACATTAGTACAGAAAACACACTTCTATTTTGTGTTTTGGCAGAAGTTTAAATTGATAGTTGTCAAGGCTTTTTCATATTTTAGCATCAATGGAAGTAGTTCCTCCAAACTATACTTGTTTAAAGTAACTCTTAAAACTAACCTGACATCCTGTTTCCTCAATAAGAGTATCCAAAAAAGTCCTAGACAATTCCCAGAGTTCACTCTGTGCTCCTTCGTCATCTAGAAACTGCAGCTGGGGGATCAAGAGCTCAACCTGCAAAATAGTTAAGAATCTAATGAAAGAACTAGAAAACAGAAAGAGAAAAACACAGTGAAATAAATAAACCCAAGCTAACATAAAATCAGAATCCCTCAGGGAGAATTTCTCTACACAACGCTTTCCACAAATTGTATTAGCTCACTGTGGACAGGTCAAAGCTGAATCCACTGATTGGAAACAAGATAAATTTTGCAAAACTGTTGTAAACTAGCAGAAGTACTGGCTACATCATTTACAAACGTTTTGTTAGTCAAGTAGTATCATAAAGATGATCCATAGCAGAAGAAAAAGGAAGACCACAGATTCTTTAACTCTTATATTTGGCACATACTATGGCTCTCATTCCTCCTGAAGAAACGAACAACGAACTTGCTTCACTTGATTGCCGGACGGCACCTTCCAAATCTGAAGGCAAGCAGCTGAAACATCAAATAGAGACCATCAATTTTTTTTGCTTCTCCTTTTCTCAAGTGAAGGGCATCAATCACTCTACCCCATGTTTCAATCTGGATAGAACATTTCAAGCCCAAAGAAACTTTTATATTAAAGCATATCAACTTCCCAAATCCATCTAAAATTTCAAGGTTGTTTAGGGTTTATACATCTGAAACGTTTTGCAAGATTTACAAAGCAGAATATTCACCCCTCAGTATATAAAAGCATCCAATTATAGATTCTTTACGAACTGTTCTCTTAATTTGTTCATGCAAATGGGGTCATCTACATAATTATACAAGAATCAAAGTAATCTCTCTAATCAATAAATGATCAAAAGGTCAAAATGATATCACCCTCCATCAAAAGGCACACCATTTATAGATGAAACAAGATAAAAATCTGAAGAAAAAAAATACCCAGATGAGCACTTGTATATAAAAAGAGCTTAAAGGCAATGGAACCTGTCATCTTCTTCTTCTTCTTGTTCTTGTTCTTGTTCCTGTTGTTGAATTGTTTGTGGTTGTGTTTGAAAAGAAGAGTCTTCAAGAGGATCCTCACCTTGGAACTTCTCAAACTTGGCGTAAGTTGTTGATGAGGTGGACCAAGGTGGTGTCTTGAGTGAAATTCCATTGTAGCCATTGAAGAATGAAAGAGAAGAAGAAGAAGATAAGGGTGAACGAGTGGTTGGTGTTGAAGCTGAGTTGCAGTAGAAACTGCGGCTTGGCATTGAAGAAGAAGCCATGTATAAACTTAACTACCAACTGATTTTAACTGGATAGTGTTATAATTTCATAGTATTATATTCGGTTCTTCCTTATAAAATTCATTTCGTTAAGAAAAATAATCAAAACTAAGAGTTAAACTTTTTAAATAAATTATAATAAATAGTTATTAACTTAAAACTCCATTTAATTGACTTTCCTTGAAATCTTATATTTCTTTTTAGAAATCCAACTTTATAATAAAACTTAAATACTCATTCTAGAGTTTGTTTCGAGGATTTGTTTATTACTAAAAATATAGAATTACCAATGAGATAAATTGTCGATGGGGATTACTCAGTATAAATAAATACTATGTGTTACTCGGTATAAATAAATACTATGTGTGTTTCTCCGGGTTTGTATAATAAAGTAGTGGTTTGGTTTGCAGTAATTATAATTTACATAGGTATCGTTTTACTAAATTACCCTTTACCTGATGACTGGATTCAAATTAATACTATGCTTGGTTACACAGGTATAATTGGTTAAAGTCATGTACAAAGGATATTTTCATACACCATTTCATCACCTTAGGAACCAGGAGAGGTATCCCAGCAACCCTGTTCTTAAGTTTTGGCATTGTTTATGCTTCATATATGTCCATGGCAAACCTGCCAAGACATTTTTTCAGTTGAAAGTATGCTCATACTAGCACACTAATTTAAAAAATACTGATGTACTTACTAATCATGTTAAAAATTAGATTTCAAGTTTCGTAAAACTTACTTCCTTATCAGCCGTTCAAACCTCATCAGGTCAAGCGTTTGCAGTGATTCTAGCAGCATCATGCAGTGTGTTTTGGGATGCGACAGCGATCTTCTGCCAAAGTTGCATAAGATCAATGCAGCCTAATGACCCCTAAAACTGTTGCACCTCAAAATTTTTAACAGCCCACTGAGCTCAAGTTAAAAATAACTCCATCATTTGTAAATAACTAAATACGATTCACTTACCATAACACAATGGGAACAAATACATATTTACCAGAGAATATGTCCTCTTTCTTTATCCATTTCAACACCTTCTGTCTGTGACATTCTTTTGAGTACATATAAAACCACATGGAATCCAAACACTTGAAATTAGATATGTGATCTGGTGCAAAACTCTTCCACATATTGTTGTGAAAACCGAAGTTGTCAACCATCGATAACAACAAATCAACTGAAATTATATTTATAATAGATGAAAGCTTACCCCAAGTAGCAATCGCATACTGCTACTCAACATAGCCTGGTCCCTAGTGGTGGATATCCGCGTACTTGCTCGACGTGGTGGTTAGGGACCTAAAATACAAAACATAATCATTAGTATCTGTTGAATGGTTATGCACATCAGTAAAATAAGTTGTCATACCTGGACTATGACCTTTGGGTTTGGTTTGGATGCACACAGGGCAATTGACTTCAGATTCTCCATGCCATCCATGGTCTACAGGAACTGCAGGCTGTTGCTTTGAATTGGTATGGTTGCACACATGGTTGCTGCATTCAAATCCTCCATTCCCTCCATGGTTTATAACATCTACTAGCTGAAAATGTTGTCCGGATACCAACCCTTAAAAAGCAAATACAAACCAA